CCACATACCTTGAGCTGCTTGGCTACATCTCTAGCAGATGATCCAGATACTTCAATCCAAGTTTTTGAGAAGAGAGCACATGCTGACAACATAAACACAAAATAGAAAAGTGCATGGAAAGGATTTGCCGCCATATCAGCTAAGCTGCAAAAGATTAGTAGGACAAGTTAGCTGGCGATAGCATTGCCAACAGCAAAGGGTTGGGAAGCAATTACACGGCAGAAAAATTCCAATACAAGTGCAGATATACAAAATAATAAGACAAACAATTATGGAATAAAAAAACAATCTTAATCACCTTGAGGGTGCAGTGATATAATACGCAAGGCCACCAACAGGGACAAACTGACCACCTGAATATTCAGATTCCTTCCATTTGCCCAAAAGATTCACAAGGAAGTTTCCACTGTATCTCCTGTACAACAACTGTAAACAAGCAAGTTAACAGAAGAACTTGAAAGCCAAATTTCAAGCAGAACATAAAACCATATAACCCTCAGTACCTGGGAGATGAAGTACAGGTTCGATACAAGAGCAGACTGCAAAATAATGGGCATGTTTGAGGTGTAGAACAACTTGATTGGATATGAACCCTGCTGCCCACGAGCATTCTTTGACCTCACAGGCAAAACCACACGGAACCCTTGGAAGTAGATGACAATGAGAAAGATCAGCACAGTAGCAAGCAGATTTGTCACATTTGGAAGATTCTGCCGGTAAAATGCCTCTCGGAGAGCACGAACTTTGTCTGTTCGGGTTATCAGCAGATGGAATAAAGCAATGACAGCTCCTTCAAATTCAGCACCACGCCCACTATTGATGGTGGTTGGACTAAATGCTTTCCAGATAATGTTTTCACTGAAAATGAATGACTCTTTAAGTATCCAAATTTTGGTAGAGATGTTAAAGATAAACTCCCCAAAGCACTCCACCAATCTCAGAACAATCAACATAGAGAAGGAAATTTCAAATGTGGATCCATAAACTAAAGAATGGAACTCACCAGATATTGGTTGCTATGAAAAGGGAAATTCCAGAGCCTAAACCGTATCCTTTCTGAAGAAGCTCGTCCAAACATATCACGATGATCCCAGCAAAACAAAGCTGAATGATGATAAGAATGGCATTTCCTACCCCAAGTTGGCCAACACTGCCATATATCCCTGAGAGCACATATGCCACCGCTTCACCAACAGCTATCAGGATACCTAGCAACTTCTGCGCACCGTTTCTGGGAGAAGAAAGCACTCGTCATGACAATGTAAAGAGCCCAAGCAAGTTTCCACATAACATAAAAGATAACACCCCTTAGTGTATGTTAGCATTGGAGAGCCCGAAGTAGCACAAGTATTCATATAAATTGAACATGATCATCTTAGAAATTGAGTGAAAATGCAGTTCAATTAACTGCAAAACATCAGCCAACAAAAATTAATAAACTACCATAATTTATACATTTTAAAATATAATATCAAGTAGCTGATATCTCTAAGTGAATTTTAGACATCTTGCAGCTTTTTCCTAGTTCATTGTTCACAGAAAAACCATTAACATAATCTGGGATTGGGAGCCCACTGGTAATAAGCAACGAAACACCAGCAATGTCACGAGGGTGGAGATATGCATATTAAGATAATACATAGAAGAAGACACTCTACAAGGCCCCTATCACAGAATGTACATGGAAGGCAGAGCAGCTTCCACTGTAATAGCAATCCACATGAATTTAGCCACACAAAGATACTTACAATAGTGCACGATCTTCACGGACGTTGTTGTCCACTTCAATGATCTTTGAGCCAGCAAGCAGTTGCATTACTAGCCCAGATGTCACAATTGGAGTGATACCAAGCTCCATGACAGTACCACGGTTGGATGCAAGAATAACACGCATCCAATAGAAAGGGTCCGCACCGGTTGTCGAATGAATGCCATACAATGGGAGTTGACTGCACACCAAGAAAATAAAAAGAGCAATCACGGTGTATATGACCTTCTCACGAAACGGAATTTTTCTGTCGGCACTCTGAACTTCAGGAAGAAATGACAGAAATGGTCTGACAAGATGAAGCACCCTAAATCCACCTCCCATCTTTCTTTCTTTTTGCCCCCTAGCTATTCAGCCTATAACCACATAACAGCAACAGATAGATTTAATTAGCCAATTAATTAATTAAATCAGGATGATAAATATCACATAATCAACATTAAAAATGAAAACAATATTTACTAAAAGGACTAACGATTTCAAAAATCAAGCTTAATATAAAGATCCAATTCAATCTCAAACAGCCCAAACCACAGATCTGTATATCCAATTCAATCTCAAACAGCCCAAACCAACAGATCTGTATATGCATGCATGCATCCATCCATCAAGTAATTTGGTAGCTCTCTCTTTGGATGCCGGGAAAGCAAGATAAAATTTCATGTTCAGATCTCTTAAGAAATGATAATAACAAACGTGTTTCAGATCAAATTTTATCACACGGACTCAATAAGATCGGATCGGAAAAAAAATTATAAGAGTAGATCATGAGATCGGAGAGACTAACCGTACCGTAGAGAAACGGAAACTATGCGGGCAGAGAGAAGAAGGCGAGTTGCGAAAGGTGAAAGGTTGTTTTTTTGGTTTTAACGTTAGGGTTTTGATAGAGAGTGATCACGTGGCGTAGAGGCCACGAGGCCACACGAATAAATGAATGACACGTGTTAAGTTACGTGGATATAACTTATGGGGAGACGGCGTCTTTGACTGACCTGGTCTATCTGGTAAAAATATAGCATATGTGCTCATAAATTTTATTTGTTTAATTAGCGTGCTCGATTGTTTTAGAAATGCAGGAAAAAACATAGAGGTGAAGTTTTTTTTTCATAAAAGAAAATATCTTGTTTGAAAACCAAATAAAAATAGCGCAATACTTTATTAAATAATATATTAAAAAAAAAGCAATACTTTATTAAATAATATATTAAAAATGTTTTTAGTAAATTTTGTTAATGAATTTCAATTAAAATTAAATACTTATCAAATGCACATTCAAAACATATTTTTAATTAATCTATTTCAATTAATTTAAATTTAAATTGAAGAAAAAAATAAAAAATAAAAAATCAGATACACATGCTTAACTTTTCTAAAAAAACTTTTCTAGTCCAAAAAGATGAATGATTATTTTGAAAAAAATGAGATAACACATACAATTTAATTTTTTTATTTATTTCTTTTAAATCTTGAAATAATATCATTTGATTGAATCTAGATTTAATTAACAAAAAAGAAAAATTAAATCATGCACTTGCATTATAGCATACTGAATTATAATAGTATTTTTTAATTTTTTATTTGGGTTATTTAATTTTTTTAATTTAACATTTATATATTATTATAATTAGAGATTGTGTTTGATAATTTGTGTTGATATATTTTTTATAAAATTATTATTGTATAAAAAAATATTTTAATATTGAATTAATACGTAATTTTGTAAAAAGAAAAATAGTTTCTCCATCATCATCTTATGTATGCATCCTTGACGTTTATATGTACTAGCTATCTAATCACATTTACTTTTATGAGTAACCTCCCTTTCGACATGTATATTGAATTAATACGTAATTTTGTAAAAAAAAAAAATAGTTTCTCCATCATCATCTTTTGTATGCATCTCTGACGTTTATATGTACTAGCCATCTAATCACATGTACTTTTATGAGCAACTTCCCTTTCGACATGCTGACTGTTAATCTTTCTCCATGTATTTTTAATGATCACCCAATTAACATACTTATCCTTTTCTTATAATGTTTTTTTATTCATTTTCATTTTATAGTTCTCTGCTTACACAATTATTAACAAGTTTTAATATCATATAATTCATGATAAATTATTAAAAAAAAACTTTTAACCGATACCTACCTCATCGCGTAAGCACCAACTCTGAATATATAACAAGAGTTGTTTGTAGATAATTTTAAAGTAATTTATCATTGTATTATAGGTTATTTTTCATATATTTTTTTTTTTGTAGATATTGTCATGCAAATAAAAGAAAACATTATCACATCAGAAAGTTTAACCTAGGATGGTTTTACTATAAAAGAATATGAAAAAAAAGAATTAATCATGTGATTAAAATTGAATTAGTTTCATATTTATTAAATCTTTTAAAGAAATAAATAGGGTGGGATTTGAGTTCATTACATAAGGATATTTTCCATATTTCTGTTAGGTAACAAAAGGATATTTGAAGATTGATTTTATATTTATGGATAAATTATTATACTTGTAAGAACCGAATAGAGGTTTGGCAAAAATATAAAAACAAGTTCAATTATATATATATATATATATATATATATATATATTTCCATTCATTCATTTTTTCATTTTTTTCAAAATAAGTTCCTATTCTTTTAATTTTGGCATTATAGGTCATGTGGTCTAATAGTCCGTTACATTTATATATTTATTTGTGTAATTTTCAAAATGTTAATGCAACAATGGATTACGTAAAAAATCTATATAATAAATCATTAAATGATTAATCATGTTAAGGATCTAATTGTAAGAAAAAAATCACCATAAAGACTAAATTGCAATTTTTATAAACTTACAATGACAAAATTTAAAGTAAGGATCAATTTGGTTAATAACAATAAAACACAGAGACTAAAATAAATCTCTTGAAAACTACAAGGACTAAAATGAGACTTTACATTATATTAACACGGTGAATCATCTTATTATATTATATTAATTGTCTTTATTGCATTAATGGCATATTTTCTCGAAGAAGATGAACCCAAAAAAAATAATACCACAAAGGTAAATAGGATAACCAATGAATAGTATCCATGGCAGCCATCTACAATCAGACTACATTAATGGTGGAGCCCAGTGTAGAACATCTCAACCATCCCTTTACTGTGTCCTCCTCCTCCTTTCACTTTCTATTTATCTTTTCATGGCCTCTAAAAGAAAATAAAAAAAACAAAAACAAAGCACATGCGAAGAGAAATGGCAGAAAAAAGAAAAGAAAAGAAAAGAAAAGAAAAGCAAGTAAAGGTCCTTTACTACTTACTGTTCGGTGAGCTAGCTAAGTAACAGCTACAACGCAGAGTGTTGCCAAAAACAGTGTCAGTTCCGTTTTTCTTGATAATCTAACCAGTAAACTTTAGTACCAGTGAGAGTACTACTAACGGCAATACTAACCTCTCTCTCTCTCTCTCTCTATATGAGTGTATCTTGAGGTGGCTTTGTTTGGAGAGAGAGAGCTATGAGAAGATCCCATTCCTACTATACTTTAGTACTAGCAGTTCTTTCTTTAGCTTGTACATTTCAGTTCCAAGCTCATGCTGCTCCTCCAGGTTTTTTTTTTATCTTGTTCTTTTGGTTACTTTTGATCTGTTTCATTTAATGGGGTTTGCTTATTTTCTTTGATTCTTCACTCATTTGTTGGTTTTTAAATTTATTTCCGTTATTTGGGTGCTTAGCGCCTTTGGTTAAGCACTTGTCTTCTCTTCTCAAATGGACCACCACAGTGGCATCCTTGAAAACACCCCATTCAGGTTCACTTGAATTACTTGTTTTTCTTTTTTGTGTTTTTGTTATTTCATGATCAAGCTTTATGATAATTTTGCGGCTTGTTGTTTTGCTACAGATGAGAATGTTCTTCAATTTGAGGCTGGATACTTAGTTGAGACTGTTGTAAAAGGAAATGCAATGGGAGTGGTTCCTTACAAAATCCGCTTATCTGAAGATGGTGAACTATATGCTGTCGATGAAGTTAATAGCAACGTTGTTAAGATCACTCCACCTTTGTCCCAATGTATGTATGTTTGGTGCTTTACTTTCTTTTATTTTAGTTTATTGATTTTAAGCAGTGTTTGAATTCTGTGTAAATCTGTCAAGACAGCCAACATATTGCTGAAGTTATGGTTCTTTATAGTTTAATATTCTGGGACCAGAAAATAGCAGATAAGTCATTCAATTAAGCATTATTCTACTTTGCTGCAAACAGACACAGAACTAGATGTGTCAATGGGCCTGCTATTGTTGGCTTTCTCAAAAAGTAAAATGAGATTAAAGAATTCTTGTTTGTGCATTTGCTCCTTTAAGAGCAACTTAGTTTACGTTCTAACTCTGCGAGATCAATATGATACCCGCTTTCCACTGAGTGAGAAAACAGGAATTCTATATGCAATTAATAAATGAAGACTTCGATTTGAGCTATAGAGTTCGATGGATTTTCCTGTTTTGATCTGTAATTTTACTTCTTATTTTTGCAGATAGTAGAGCAAGATTGGTGGCCGGCTCATTTCAGGGTTATACAGGACATATTGACGGAAAACCAAACGAAGCTCGTTTTAATCATCCCAGAGGTCTAACCATGGATGATAAAGGAAACATATACGTTGCTGATACTTTGAATCATGCCATCAGAAAGATTGGAGAAGCAGGTATCAAGAGTTTGCACTAGATCCGAAGTTGTAAATATTAGTGTTCTTCCTTTTTTTGGTGCATGCAAAAATGATGCAATTCAACTACATATATGTTGTGTTTGGCATTGCCTGTGTGAACAAATTTTGAGAAGTAGCTTCTCCAAAACCATAGTTTTGGATGTCTTTGGTTTTCCTACCGATCATACTGCATTTATATGTTATAACCGAACATTTTTGGGTTTCTATCTGTTCCCTGCTTACCGTTATTGGTCACAGCTAAGAGTTCTTTACTTTAAGTCATGGTTTTGGGTTGAAAAGGCCTTTATCGTAGCTCAACTCAATGCCGTAATTACTCACAAGGGGTATACTTCCATACAGAGTTGCAGACATGTGATCAGTTTTGACAATCTGTGACTAGTTATATTGGTATAGTTGAGTGCGCAAAAATTTTAAAAATCTTGATTGTCAAAAGTTGAATATTTGAGTGTATATGGTGGAATAAAGATATCAACTTTGGAAATTATTTGCAGGTGTCACAACCATTGCTGGGGGGAAATCAAACGTTGCAGGTTTTAGAGATGGACCCAGTGAAGATGCCAAATTCTCAAATGATTTTGATGTGGTGTATCTTCACTCTATCTGTTCTTTGTTAGTTGTCGATAGAGGAAATGCTGCTCTTCGGCAAATCTCGCTTAACCAAGAGGATTGTGATTATCAGTCCAGTTCATTTACTATGACAGGTTTGATTCCATATCATTTGTTACCACCTTTTCTTTTTTAAAGATGGTGCAGTGATCAAGTCATATTTTTTGTTTATAGTATTAGCTTGCTTGAACTTTAACCGGAACAGTCCATTTGAATCAAGCCTGGAACTATTAATAGAACACAATTTAAGTTTTGACTTTCAACTTTACCAAACTAGTCTCTAGTTTGACCTTGGCATGGATTAATCAATGATAACAAATGTGTAATATGGTAGTTGATTGTAAGGTAGGTGTTTAGTTTATTGTAGTGAAGAGTGTTACACATCCAACCAATAGAGTGCACACGGGAGACAGCAATTGAAAGCAATAGACTAGCTAACAAAACAAGGTGTTGGAATGTTTTCTTTGATTGTCTATGCCATTGCTGCACTCTGAATTTTTCTTTGCATGATAGAATCTTTAGCTTAGTGTCAAGATATGCTCAATTTTCACATAATTTGCAACTCCCTAGTGCAACACCACCTCGGACACAGGAAGCTAGTAAAAGATAATGAGCTATGGAACCAAAATACCTACTCTGGTGTAGGATTTGGTTGCTTCATGCTGTTCAACCTTTTCAGTTATACAGTCAATGATCCCATTGTCATTAACTCCTGTAGAAAGATTGTGGAATGCATGATTATTTTTCAATTAATATCACTTGGACTTTTTTGGATACAAGTTATCTCCCAGGCATGTGCTAATGATCCTAGAAATGTGAAGAATGATTTGGTTCAGAAACCAAGAAAATGATTGCATTTGGTTTCAACGTTAAATTTCCAAGTCTCATGCTCATTGCCCAAGGCCCCAAGCATCTCTCCCTCTCCCAACCCAGCTTATTTTTATTTTTTTACAGCAGGCATTTTGTTTTGTTGTAATATGACTTTGTGAGATAAATGGAATTATACACCATTTTACATCACTTGGATTTTGAAGCCATTTGGGACTATCCCTTACTGACTGAAGTACTTCATGAATCTTTTGGAAGATGTGCTTATGGTCGTTGGTGCTGTCCTGATTGGATATGCTACGTGCATGCTTCAGCTGGGGTTTGGGTCTTCTTCCTCCTCAAGAATGGTATCATTCTTACTTTTGTTGGATTTCTCGTGATTTGTCTGATTTCCTCGAAATGGTTAAACTGGAAAATTTAAATGTGTACTTATTTCATCCTCACGTGTTTTCAGTTGCTTCATAGTGTTCTTCCTCTTCAATTCATCTTGCCCTGTTAGCTAAATCAAATGTTATAATGCAGCAACAATCTTCAGAGAGTGAATATAAAGAGAAATCAAGTAAGGAGAAACCGATTCCTATCGTGGACAACATGAAAGAGGAGCCCAAGTGGCCATCTTTTGGACAGCTTATCATTGATCTGTCTAAGCTCGCTCTTGAAGCATTGGTTGGTATACTCCTCTCTTTTATTCCTTCTTGGTACAGACCAGGTGGAGCAAGAAAAGGCCTCGCCCCATTGAAAGATTCTCTAATTATGCCTGATGATGAAGTTGAGCCTCCATCAGTTCAAAGGCAGAGTACTCCTGCTCCTGTATCTGAAAATCGCCAGGTCCATACTCCAACAACAAGTGATAAGTACTCGGAAATGAAGCCACTGAAGATCAAGTCTGCCAGTTTTAAGGATCCTTCTCCTTTGAGCAAGCACCGGTCTTCAAAACAACAAGAATACGCAGAATTCTATGGATCAGGTGAGGTTCCTTCTCATGGCAGGTCAAAGAGCCACAAAGAAAAATCAAGACATCGCCAACGAGATAAGAGTGGAGAGGTAGTTTTCGGAGCTGTGCGGGCTGAGCCAAAACCTGCTGAGATGAATCCTGTAGATTACAGTAGTCCAAAATTCAACCATTACACTAACAGAAGCAAGTACGGATCTGACAGTTTGTACCGATTTTGATAGTCTAGTGCTCTCTGTAGCCAACCCTTGCACTCCCTGCCTCAGCTCTGCTTGTTTTTTCGCTCCAACATTTTTGTACCCTTTATGTTATGGTTGTCATTGAGCTAAAATTCTAGTTCAAATGAAAACTTGTAAGCATGTATTTTTACGTTAGACTTGCATAAAATACCTCAGGATATTTCTCAAACTGGCTGCTGCAACATAATCGATCTGCTGCTGATAGGGAGCATTCGACAGGGGAGCTGCTGGTGGTCCGGAAGGAGGGAGCATGCATTCCTCCTTCTGGAAGCATATATCTGATAGGAAAGAAACCGTGCAAGGTTTGAGCATCTTTAGAGTCCATAACTGTAGTTGGATTGCGTAGCTTCTGCTTGGAATCCACCCAATTGTTTTTGTGTTTTCATTAACTGAAAGACAGATTAAAAAAACTTGAAATTAAAAAATAAAGAGTATGGTTTTTTGGTCTCAAATGCATGCACTTAAAGTTGGTAGATGGTGTGGGGTGATGATTGATTTTTAAAGTGTTTTTTATTTAAAAATATTTTAAAATGATATTTTTAAAAAATTTATTTTTGATATTTGTTTATTAAAATCATTTAAAAATATAATTTAAAGTAAAAAACTAAAAATAATAATTTTTTAAAAGCACCTTTAAAGTATGAAAACAACTATATTTTTAAAATTTAATTATTTTTATGTTTTTAAAAAATTTAAAGTTTTTAATTTTTTATTTAGTTTAAATTATTTTTTATATTTTTAAATCATTTTGATATGGTAATATTAAAATTAAATTTTAAAAATTAAAAAAATATAATATTTCAATGTTTTTTAAAAAAAAAACATTTTGAAAACCAAATAATTTAAATAAAAATACTTTATAAAGCCTAAAAGATGAACTCATCTTGCTGAACTGACAGGATTGATGTCTGGACGGTTGCATAAAACAACAAGATCGAAAGAGCTGGTGCAGATGTGAATCGAACCTTTGTCCCAGAGAGATTTCAGCGTAAGCACGTGATGAAGGCCAGGCAAGAACTCTTTTTGCAGGGTTGGTCATTTCTGGCTAGACGGGGCACAGAGGGCAGATACTCTTCACGTGTACCTTGATAGATAACTGTGATGCGCTGGTAGGTTTTCCCGTTGAAAAGACACGGCAACTCAAACTCTCCCGAGGTGAACTCCCCACCATCATTTTTTATTTTAATGATTTTATTTCTCTTTTTTTTTTTTGCATCAGTAAGAAATATTCTTTATTAACTGAAACTAAATTAAAATTAAAATTAAAATAAATTAGAGGGTGCAGTGATTTGTTTTTATTTTCATTTGATATTTTATGGATGCTTTTTCTATTGGATTTGTCATCGTAATTTGTTTTTACTGAATTCCAGCTTGAAAACAAATTGAGTCCCTTTATTTGCTAATATAAATAATTGATTTGCAGGATGATATATTTTTTTTTATTTCTCAATTTTTTTTAATTTGATTCATTTATATTAAATTTATTTGGAATTTGAAATGGTAATTTATTTTAATTATCTTGATACATGGATTTTGTAACATCGAGAAAAATTTTTAGTGCTCGGTTTTGTAAAATAAAATAAAATTTGACTAACTTAAAACTATTAAATTTTAAAAGATAAAAATCAAAACTAAAATAAATATTGGAATTGAATGTATAAACAAGACAAAATAGTTGTACATGCTAATATATAGAAAGTCTTCACTATCTTCAAATGGCAAATAAAGCCTTTTATGGTAGCTAAACATTATCTTTCATGATGATATTAAAAATATTTTGAAATGATCTTCCATAAAGTTAGTCACATATATATGGCAAAGCGATAACTTGTTCCAGTAGATTTTTTTTCTTTTCCTTTTACTTGTCTCTTTTCTCTTTGCATTTTGTGTTGGTCTATCAAAATTTAAAGGTATTTTGATATTTATTTATTATATTTTTATCAAACTTGATAATTATTTTTTTATTACTATTTATTTTTTAATCTTTTTTTATTTGTTTCTTTGTTATCTGGACTCATGTAATTTTTATGATAAATTTAGTTTTTATTTTTTTATTGTTATTTTTTTTATCATTTTCTTAATTGAATTTTATTTTTAGCTTCATCCATCAACATCTGATTTCAGTTTATTTTTATTTTAAATTTGATCATCATCCTTTTAATTGTTATTTATTTTGTTTTAAATCATTTTTGAATTTATTTTTTTTACTTAATTTCATATATCAGGATTTAATTAATTAGAAATTTTGCTACGTAATTTTGTAGGATTTGTCTTTTATAGGGTTAGTCTCAAGGTCGTGACTAGGGTCATGAGTTTTAAAGATTAGCTTGGGTTGATTTTGGTTATTTTTTAGGTTATTTTTATTTTGAATTTTATCCTTTAATATTTAATTGGTTGAAAATTGATCTTCATGCTATATTTTGTAACTTTTCTTTTTATGGGGTTATTTCGATCATATATTTCAAGTCACGAGTTTAATAGGTTAACTTGGATAATTGAGTTTTATATTTTTATTCAATTTTCTTTTGATAAGGTTAGTAGGGTATCATGATTATGTCATAAATTTGATACGCTAACTCAAGTGGACTTGAGTAGGGGTTTTTTGCCATGTTTTAAATTATATATATTAATTTTATTATTCAACTTTTAATTTGCTAGAAATTGAGCTATGAGTTTTTTTTTTCATTTTGTTTTCTATAGAATTATCACATTCTCATGTAATTTTTGCTTCATTATCAAATAAAATCATAGAGACCTTCAAAGAGTATTTGGAGAATATCTTTCTATGGTATTGGTAAACATTTAATTTATAAGTTGATCATTGTCATTTTTTTATTAGTTTATTTATTATTTTTGTATTTTTTTATTGTATTATTAAATTAATTAGCTAAACTTATTAAACTCTATCAAGTAAATGTCCCAAGTTTTATTATTTTTTTCTTTTTTAGGAATGCTTGGGCAGCTTAAGTCTCATATATATATATATTTTTTTAACTTTTTCTTAAGTTGAAACAAATTGACCCCAATCTTGGCATAGCGAAGCCACTTATCTAATTAATGTCTACATATGATCTCATGTACGTATACATCATGCTGGTTTCATATATTTTCATGAATGCTGGACTTATGAACTTAGAAAAGAGGAAAAACAGAAAACCTTTGATGACCAATCCCTTGAAAACAGAAGAAGTGAACAGAAATCCCGGAGTAGATAATGCTAATGCTAATTTCACCACCTAATGAATCTCATAAATTTATTATGTGCAGGGTATCGCTGTGTTTGAGATAGCCTAATTCTAACACAAAATGTTCTTGAGGTTCCGCAGGTTTTAATCATGGGCAAATGAGAAAACTGAGCTATGCTACCAAAAAGCACAGTCGCACAATCAGAGAGAAAAGAAGTCCCAAGGCATGAAATACATGATCTGATATAAGAAAATTCGGTCTCCAAATCCTTGTTGACATTGTATTACTGGATTAAGAGACCTGAGCAGCAGATTTTTTAACTAGCTTTCACTACTTTTTGCCCAGAAATGCTCTATACAAACATTTGAATTACAATTTGGCAGTCAGTTTTAAGATTAAAAAGAAAAAAAAATAGTAAAAAGTAGAAATCATGCCGGGAATATCATGATCAAGAGAAAACGATTCGCACTCCCCGTGCATGCATTCTTCCATTTTCCAACTGATGAAGTTCATCAATAAGAGTAAAATAATGATTACACAAGTTACGATAACTCCCTTTTTGAAGTTGCAGTATCCAATAAAGATGGGGGTTATGGCTAAAGGGATCGGCTAGCAAACTGTATAATGTGTGCAACGGCAGCATGAAGGATTCGCTAGGTCCTTAATTTGCTCCCTCGACCTTCTTAATTGGGTTTTCCAAGATGGTCAATCCGTGAAGTTGTCTCTCTTCAGCCTTTAACTTTCTTGGTCAGGTCAGTGCGGTCTGCTTAGCGAATCCTTTTTTATACTGTGGTAATATATCAGTGTTTTTTAAAAATTTATTAAAATAATATTTTTTTATTTTTTAAATTATTTTTTAAAATTATTATATACATCAAAACAACCTAAAAATAATATATATATATATAATTAAAAAAACATAATTATTTTTACAAAAACTCTTTCCAATCATAAAAACAAATAAGATCTTAAAGTGTATTTGTAAATGTGATATAAGTAAGTGATGAGGTTAGGTATAACTAACCATATACAAATCTCTTTCTTGAAAATTAATTTTTTATTTTTTTATTTACATTTCCAAGCATGCTCTATCTCAAAATACAAATTAATTATTTTTTTAAGGATAGGTATTTGTTGCCAAGTTCATTATTTTTCATTAAAGTTTAAATCCTTCTTAGTTGGGATAAAAATACATCTTATGTATCTATTGGTATATTCATGAAAAGTTCATTTTTTAGTATTTTATGGGATTCAAAAAATTAATAATATCATGGAGACTATATTTCTAATAATCTCTCTTATGATTCAAACCATTTACTAGTTAAATTAATCTTCAAGAGCAATTAGTTATTTCAAAGTATTAAGAAAATGAACAAATATATAACAAAATAATAAGTATATAATCTTATACGGTTTAACTGGATGGTCAGTATATATTTTTTATTAGACATTAAAGTTAAGCCAATGAAACTAAATATTAAGAACTACAATTTATCTTAAATCTATGTTTAAGATAGATAAGTTGCCTTAAGTATCTTTAAATAGATGATAAATAAACTTGATATTAGTGTGTGACTTTGAAGTAATTTTTTTCTAAATAATAATCAAGCTCAATTATGTTTGTACGAAAAAAATGATGCTTTTAGCTTATTTATTATTATGCTATAGACAGGGTGATATAATAGTGGCATGAGTAAGAAAAAAAATAAAATAAAAAGTAAACAAAGAAAAAGAATGATGGGAAAAGTTGTTGGTAAAAGTTTGTTAGCATATATTATCGCTAAACTAAACACAATAGAAAAAAGGTAATTTAACAATTGGAAGGATCATTTAGTTAGTTGGAATGATTATATAAATTAAAGCATACGATGTAAATGAAAATCAAGTTTATACAATATCTTTTTTATATTTTTACAGAGTTTTTTCTCTTCTCATTTAACCTACCTCCTAATCTCTTATTCTTACTACACTAACTCTTTGTTA